ACCAGAAAGGGGGGGGGGGGGGAGAAAGCCATAGAAGAAGCAGGTCCAATGAGAAGTTTGAATCCTGTTTTTCTTGGGAAGATGTACAATCTCTTCTCTTCAGATTCTGTATATGGCATCACCCCAGACAGGGCCCTTTGCCAGCCTGAAGTCTCTGTGGGACACCATCTTCTGTCAGTGCCATTTAAGCCAGGCTTTTTTTCTAGTAGAGACTGTCATTAGTGATGACAGCTGGTGTTTCTGTAGTGTTTTGTATTTGAAAAACCACCCTGGAAGTAATTATTTTTTCTCTTCAAGACACCAATGGTAAGGTCCAAAATAGAGAAGATTGGTTAATTTGGGAAAGGATCCCCAAAGTACATTTTCCTTTGCACATGCCTAACATTTTCTTTCTAGGAGACAATGACAGGAGATGCACTCCCATTTCTGCATTACAGCAGGCTCCGTCTTCTAAGCAGATCCTTATTTTTGTGATCACAGATTGGAAGCGAAGCATGTTCCTGTCTGCTTGTTTTGGGCTAGATCTTCTTTGGGAAGATCTTACTCTGCAAATATCTAATTGCAGCATAATGTGATTTTTTTCAGAGTCAAGGAATAAATCAGGTTCCTATCCTATAGAAAACAGCTGTTGATACCTGGGTATGCTTTGCTCCATGAATAATTCAAATCAAGATTTGATTTAAAGCTTGCTGCACTTAACACTAGTCAACAGAATAATTATGTGATTGGTGCTGAGAGAAACCAGCATCTATATTAAAGGGAGAGAGGAGCCAATGCTAGAAGTTAGATGAGCAAATTAATTAGTCCTGCCTCTGCCACCGATGACCTTCTGTGACCTTGTGGTAAGGCTTGTGACTGCCACATTGATGTGTAGGTGTTGGAAGAGAGGTGATGTTTCAAAGAGGAAAGGCTATTGTTTCAGAAATCCTGCAAGCCTTGTAAGGTTTATCTTAATAAAATTTGTGGTGCTTTCAACTCTGTCAAAATATTAGCAGGTGATATTTATTATGCTAATTGTAAAGTGTTATATTTAAAGAATTTAAAATGCTGACTTTTTAGAGGAAATTGCTAGAAGCAGCAGTAGGAGAGAGAATGCTCAAAGTTTCTTCACTTTCTGGAAGTACCAGAGTTGATGAGTTTTTAAACACACCAAAGTTTAATGAAAAATCCAATTCTTACTAAGCTCTGCTATTGGTCTCTGAGGCTGTCGCTGTTTGTAATGGATTATGAGAACAATGTCATTGAACTGAATTTCTCTTTAATATGCCACAGTTGAAAAGATGATAAGAACACTTGCACGTTCCAGAAAGCTTTTTGATTGTAATAACTTTAATAACTTTAAATTAAGTTATGGATTGATATTAAAATGTATAAAATTATGAGGTCCCCACATCACGAAGTAGTGCAAAAATCATTAGAATAACTTTGCTGTGCTGATGGATTGAGCACGAGATGAACGCCAGCCTACTGCTAAAAAGGTGAACCCTATTAAAATTATTCTTAATAAGCTTTTAAAATGGTTGCTATTTTGCTAGTCACATAATTAAAAAGGAGGGAAAGCTACTCAAAGTAGTAAGTAAAGAAAAAACTCCAAGCCTCACAACGCTTTCTCCAGTCTTGTTTCCTTTGCAAACACTTGGAATACAAAGTTAAAACTTGAAGGTATGTCTGTCATAAATATGAAGTTAAGGACCACGACGGTTGTAACGCGTGCCAAGAGGGCAAAACTTCTGCTTTTCCTATTTGGGATTTTTTTTAACCTGGCTTTCAATCTTTTAAGAGTTTTGTACGTGCCAAGAGTATTTCCATTCTCTCAACTGGTGTTCCTGAATGGGTGTTTAGACTGAGCAACCAACACGATCAGTGTGCAAGTTACCCATTTTACATCCCTGCTATAGTGCCAGGGTCCTGGACCCTCACATTGAGATGCTGACAAATTTATAATTAGGATCTTTTCCAGCAAACCAGCAATGTAGCAAGTTGAACACTATTAGTGAAATGAAACTCCTAAGTGCATTTGGAAGAACACTGATTACCAGACTAAATAATCCGGAACAAATGGCTAGAGTTTTGGAAGGGTAACAAACGAAATCAAGTAATAAAACCAAGCCTTTTGGAATATTTGTAGCAGTTATGTCGATTTTGCTTTCCAAGGTAATCATGCAAACCTAGCAAAAGTAGGATTGGTATAAACATAGTGCTTTGCATACTAGGGGCAATGATTTAGAAGCTGTTGGTGAAAAGCTGGTAGGAAGTCACAGCACTGATTTGTATAAAATTTGGACGTATTTCTATGAAGGCACTCAGAGCTTGCCAGTGTCTGCAAAAAAGTTGGGGTTTTTTTAAGGGAGCACATCAAAAGATACCAGAGTGCTTCCCACCTACTTCTAACTCAGCACAAATAACACTGTTCTGTAAATAGAGAAAAATCGTATCTGCTGCTGGAAATTGATTTAATACAGAAGCTTTGAAAACAACTCTCCCCCTGCCCATCAAGTCCTGACAGAGGAGATCCTTTCATCTAGCCTTGTTCCCACTCCAGCAGCCTGCAGTGGCCTCCTGGGTTGCAGCAAAGTCCACGTCGATCCCTTCTGGATCTATAAGAAACTTTTCTTTCAGTTATCTCTGGCACTTGGTGTTGATGTGCTCATGCCCCTCTCCCAGCTTGCTGTGACCCTCATCCTCTCGCTATCCTATCTGAATCTGGGAAGCATCTTTCCACTCACTGGTAAGGAGCACTCTTCCTTTTCTCCTACCACTTTCTTCCACTTTGTCATCTGCATTGCAGCCAACAGGGCAGAGCAACATTCCCCCTTACTGCCTAGCCACAGCTCTTTAACCAAGGCATGTGCCTGTGGTGTGAGCAAAGACTTCTGCCATTAATCACAGTTTCCCTCACTACGGGACTTAACTCCTAGCCAGCATATCTGGGCAGAGCAGCCTTTGATCATTGAAGCAACAGCTTCTTTGTGTCAAGGATACATCAACTCTTTGCTATGCTAACACATCAGCATTGCAAACAAGGGCAAATGCAGATATGGGATTTAAACGAGGGCTAATTTACTCAGAGGTGATTGTTGAAGAGCACATAATGCCAAGCCATATGGCTGGAAACCTTCATACAAAATGAATTCCATCATAATCTGGTAGGTTCTGCTTGTTGCCATTTTCCCAAGGATCCTTTTCATGTTCAAAGAATCTGTGATATTCACTGAGCAACTCCGGTGTGCAGATCTGGGAAAGTAACTACACCTGCTGTTCCTAGTGTTTCCCTGTCAGATAAGGATATGCTTATAGCAGAGGGATTTTTTTTTTTTACCCTGCCATTAGAGCTATCATGCCAAAGCAATGAGTAATGGCTCTACAGGAAAGGCATGACAGTCAATTATCTGGCCATACATACCAAGGTGAATGCAATAGGTCTTGTAATGTCTCCAGTGAGATATTTTGGTACCTTTGAGCCTTCAGTAGCCATAAAATGGAATTACTGCAGTAACTTTTCAGCACGGTACTAAAAATCTAACAGGATGCCATGTTTTACATTTGATTCTCTACCATATTCATCCTTCAGGCATTACTGGATTGAGGCTTTTTTTTAAAGGGCCCTACTTTGTGAACTAATTATGACAAATGTTGATATGACATCTGTTGCTGACTTTCAATTACCTCTTAGTCTGTTGGAATTCATCTTGAAGGCATTTTTGTAATGAATTTTTTTTTGGTGAACATTAATACAACCTGTGGGAGATCTGAATAAAAAATAAAATTCACCAATCCTGCCAAGAGAATAGCTTATGTGCCAACTGCTTATTTTTTGTTTGTTTTGTTGTTATCCTGCTTTCTGCGATATTAATACAGCCAGTTTCCAAGGCACTTAAACAGATAACAGGTTGTTACGGTATAGAGGAATTCTCCTTGAGAAGAGAGTGAATAATTAGGGCTGCTTCCTGAAAGAACCGCTTCCACGACCCCAAAGCTGCTGCATTCAAATAACTAAACCTCGTGTTCTTTGGAGGAGATTGTGCTGTTCTGTCTTGCAGATATATTTCGCACTGAATCCAAGATTAGTGAATAATTTCTCAAGTTATCTTTTTGTGTGGTCAGTCTGTAGCAGAGCAAGGGAGTTTATCCCTGTGTTCCATATGAGATTTGCCTTACAACTATTTGGGTGACAATGGGTACTTTTTTAGTACCTATCTGATCAATATTTTACCTACTGTGTTTCATTCAAAAGCTATAAATATGACTTATTAAATCATGCTAAATGTTTGTAATAATTCCACCCATATATGAAGGAAACCCCATCAGGTTTGTGAAAACGAACATTGTATTGGTGTACATCTGGCACAATTTCTCTAGGTACAAATGGATGCAAGTCTCGCAGCGGCTGGTGAATATTAACTTTCAGAAAGGGGAATCTTTCTTATGCGTAAGACTTAAAAACCCATGAAATTTAGAGGGCAGCTCAGTGAAATGATGCTGGTACGTTCTAAGATAAAATGGAAGTCATGCAATCTTTGTGCAGATGGCCTCGATCAAAACAAATCCTTTTTGATGCAAGGATTGTGGAGGCTTGATGAGGGAAAGATTTCTGAAGGCCTTTTGTGTCCATATGTAGTGAAATTCCTGCAGAATGGATTTGAGGTTTGCACCTGCTATAGTGTTTAGTAATGCTAGACGGCGGTATTAGCAGGTCATGATTAGCAGAATGCGTTACATGACTACAGAATAAACCAGAAAGCATCACACACGCACAGAATAAAACAATTACTAAGCTTGGCAGGGGAAGAAAGTGGAAAATACTTCTTTTCTGCTTTTCCTGAGCTTAATACAGACACAGATGGATTTAAATGCTGATGGTTATTAAAAGGACTTTTCACAGTCTGTGGAGATCTTGCATCTTTTTTTTTTTTTTATAGCACTGTTCATTTAATTCTTCAAAGTGGTTGTAATCGATTTGATCAAGTAAGTCTTATAACACTTTGCATATTTTTCCACAGAAATACCTCAGGAGCTTTTTCTCTGCAATGCTGAAATCTCCATCGTCTCCGCTGCACATTGACAAAGTGGGTCTAACTCTCTCAAAACACACCATCTGCGAATTCTCACCCTTCTTCAGGAAAGGTGTTTTTGACTACAGCAGCCATGGGACCAGCTAAGTTTTGGGCCAGGACCCTTCTGCTGGAGGAGCACAGTCAGAGTGGTGCCTTCACTTCCGTGGTGCGAAAGAAACGGGGGGGAAAAGAAAAAAGGTATCTTCCTCCATACCTGGGAAGTTGCATCAAAACAACTCCAGTTAAAGACAGCTATGCCCCAATGCTAGCCTTTGGCCTTTACCACTTCTCATATTAGTGCCTGCATTTTTCTGGCATGGGTTACACAGACATTTTTGTGTAAGTTGCTCTGTTAATACTGTACAAAGATTCTGACTCTTGTGCTGTGGTTGCATCTGCTCCTTAGCGGGAGTGCTTCCTTCCCATTTGCTCAGACAATTTGTTGTGGTGGTGCGAGAGCATCTCGTGTTTACCGTGGTAGTGTGTCATGCTGACAGAGGGGTTTTGAGCAGCCTTTTGGTTTCTGTCCAAGCTGTTCCTTAAAGAACACTTCCTCTTTTGTTTCCTTATAGCATACTGTGGCATTTAAGGTAATGCTCATACTCCACTGTCGTTTCTTTTTTTTCCCTCCCAGCCACACATTTTAACTATTTGACTGTATAATTGTATAGTTTTCCTCAGAATAATTAAAGGGCCTGGGTAACTTGAATGTTTACAAAAATATATGCAGCAGAAAGAATATCGTTTAAACCCTGTATAAGTCTTCCACACTTGGTTCTTTTGAAGCAGAACGAATCACTTGCCATTAATTAAGAAGCAGAGGAAGCAATAGTTACTGAAGAATGCGGTCAGCATCTTTTCAGATTTTCTAATTACCCAGACTGTAAGTGGATACTGTGCACTGTACAGAGCTCATAGCTATGCATAAAGCTAATGCAAAGTGCTATATTTCTTTTTTTTTTTTTTGAAAAATAGCTTCTTCACAATAGAGTAACACTGTAAAATCTGAGTTTTATTTGCATCAGTTAAAATTTACAGATTTTGACTAATAGTACTTTAAACGTACTCAGGACTTATTCAGACTTGCACATGTATATACAGGTCAAACTCATTTTATATTGCTGCGGATCCAAAAATACATATACACTGTGACTGGAATTGAGTATGTGTACATGTTAATGTATAATTGGTTGTATAAAAATCAGTCAAACAACTTCCAGTTATTAAAATGCATTATGAAAGGTAAGGTTTGTGTGCCATTTGTTAGGAGTGTGAAGCATTATTTGTGAGTCGCCATCATTGACCATCGGTAGGTCTTGGTAATCAAACTATTTCATGTTGTAGAAAATTATTATTAAAACCTACAGTAACAACACAGGTGACATTTTTATTTCATGACCTAAATTATAGTAACAGAAATGTTTTACATTTAGTATGATGTATAAAGATAATTGGTTCCATTATTGAGCCTAGCTTGCTACAATAAGCATTTCTAGTTGAAAAAAAGAAAAAGAAAAAAGAAAAACATTTATTAGAATGGATCATTTAAATTTTGAGAATATTTTTAGTATTTTGATTCATTTCAGTGAAAACAAAAGTTAGGGTAAAATTTCTAAACCACCGGAGCCCTATTATCAGCAGCGTAGACTTTAATGTCTTTGGATATGACTGACTGATTCTGACTCTGTCTGACTTGGGCATCTTCATACCTTCAATTGGGAGCCAGTTTTTTAAGCTAAGCATTCCAATCAAACCTCTTGATTCCCAAACTGGTTTTGCACCATGTCCCAGCCGTTCCCAGTCTCCCTCGTGCACTTCGGTGCTGGAGCGCTAACTTGACCTGCGCTTCATCACTGACAGGGGCCTGAGCTCATGACCCTCACCATGCCCCGTGCTTGTATTGCACCTCTCCAATCTCTCCCAGGGCCTTTCTGTGCACATATCATCCCTCCACCACGAGGCCATGTCCTCCCTTCCTTCTTCACCCACTGTTTGGCTTTGCTCGTGCTTTCTGAATCGGAAAGTGGAGGTTGGGTGCTTGCCGGGTTCCTCCGGTGAGCTGAGTAACAGGAGTTTGATGTTGCTGCGCACGTTAATGGAAGATCCGTAACTTCCCTTGGCTGTATTTACCCTCGTGACCCATATGAACGCTTCAGAGGCAGAAACTGGGCATGGTGGTGTTGGCTTTCAGAGTGGCCTGGGAACTTTGACCCTAAATCTCACTTCAAAATCAGGAAGTCTTTTCTGTCTCCCCTTCTCCCTTGGCCTGCTCCCCCTCCTGCCTCATTGCAATGCAATGTGATAAAGAATTAATGATTAAGAGTTTTAAATAATGAATTTTGCATAACTGTAGAGCATTATTTCCTGTGTGCCACTTCTGTGAAAGAGCCTGGCAGGCCAAGAAATGGCAAGCTGCTTTATCTGCTGCACAAACCCAGTTTCTGCAGATGTCCTATCTGAAAAAAAAACCCCTAGTGGTGCCAAGCTCTTTCCTGTGGCAAGCAGCGCAGAGCCTGATGAGCGAAACTCCGTCGTGCTGCACGGCAAATGCTAGTCTGTGAGAAGCGTTGAGCGCGCAGGACTCCAAGGTAAGTCCTCTGATTCATGTCTCTTTTGATTTGGAGAACCTATTTAAGAAAAACACAACTAGACAACTAATTAAGTCGAGTGAAAAATATGAATGTTTGTCTTTTTCACATGAATTTAAAAGAAGACTTGGACTCGGTTCCTGTCTACAGTACAAATTTATTCAGGGGGGACCAGATGCTCTAGTGTAAACCTGCCAATAAGGTGGCTAATTTATGTTGGCTAGTTTATCTGGCCTGCAGCGTTAAATGTGTACATTGCAAATACCAAAGTAAAGGCTGATTAATCACTCCATTTAAAATGTCATCAAGTTAAATGCAAGTGTAAGCATGCAATTAGGACCACAACCCCAGGCTACCAGCTTGTCCCACCTTCTTATCTACCCTTCAATGGTACCTAGATTTTAATCACTGACTGCAAGCTCAGGCTATGCTAAATGGCATATTTTAATAATTTCACCAGTAAAACTATGACAGCTCTTTATGACCTACAGTCTTTAAACCCAGACTTCATAAGAAGTTTTCAATAGAAACTAAGATGCATGTTGAAATTATTAGCCATTTTCATTACATTCAAACTGCATTCCTGTGAAAATATCCCTAAGCTCTAAAATTTTTCACACATTTCGTTTTTAAAATATTGGCACTTTCAAAAACATTGTGAAAGTAATTTCCAGGTCTTGTACAGCTTTTTTTCAAGGTGCCTCTATAGTTGGACTTTCGGGCTTCAAATCATGCAAAAAACCTCTGGGCAAAGCCTCCTCATTGGCCTTGACCCCTCACTCCTTTAACTGGAAGTGCTTTTCCTCTGAATATGCTACTTCGTATAGGAAAGAGGTAGAGCAGCCCCCAAAGCCCTGCCACTAAATCATAGAATCATTAAGGTTGGAAAAGACCTCCAAGATCAAGTCCAACCATCAACCCCACACCACCATGCCTACTAAACCATGTCCTGAAGTGCAATGTCTATGCATTTTTTGAACTCCTCCAGGGATGGTGACTCCACCACCTCTCTGGGCAGCTTATTCCAATGCTTGACCACTCTTTCAGTGAAGAAATTTTTCCTAATATCCAATCAAAATCTCCCCTGACACACCTTGAGGCCATTTCCTCTTGTCCTATTGCTTGTTACTTGGGAGAGAGACCAACATCCACCTCACTACCCCCTCCTGTCAGGCAGTTGTAGAGGGTGATAAAGTCTCTCCTCAGCCTCTTCTTCTCCAGCCTAAACAAGCCCAGGTCCCTCAGCCACTCCCCATCAAGCTTGTGCTCCAGATCCCTCAACAGCTTCATTGCCCTTCTCTGGTCACGCTCCAGCCCCTCAATGCCCTTCTTGTAGTGAGGGGCCCAAAACAGCATGAACACAGCATTTGAGGGGCAACGTCACCAGTGCCCAGTACAGGGGAAAGATGACTTCCCTGCTCCTGCTGGCCATGCTATTCCTCACACAAGACGGAATGTTGTTGGCTGCCTTGGCCACCTGTGTATGCTGCTGGCTCATACTCAGCCATCTGTTGACCAACACCCCCAGGTGCTTTTCTGCCAGGCAGCTTTCCAGCCACTCATCCCCAAGCCTGTAGCGTTGCATGGGGTTTTTGTGACCCAAGTGCAGGACCCGGCACTTGGCCTTGTTAAAATTCATACAATTGACTTCAGCCTGTCCAGATCCCTCTGCAGAGCCTTCCGACCCTTCAGCAGATCAACACTTCTGCCCAGCTTAGTGTTGTCTGCAAACTTGCTGAGGGCGCACTCGATCGCCTATGCAGATCATTGATAAGGATATTAAACAGAACTGGCCCCAACACTGAGCCCTGGGGAACACCACTTGTGACCGGCTGCCAACTGGATTTAACTCCGTACACCACAACCCTCTGGGCTCGGTCATCCAGCCAGTTTTTTATCCAGCAAAGAGTATGCTTGTCTAAGCCATGAGCCACCAGCTTCTTTAGGAGAATGCTGTGGGAGACAGAGTCAAAAGCCTTGCTGAAGTCCAGGTAGGTAACATCCATAGCCTTTCCCTCATCCACTGGGCGGGTCACCTGGTCATAGGAGGAGATCACGTTGGTCAGGCAGGACCTGCCTTTTGTGAACCCATGCTGGCTGGGCCTGATCCCCTGGTTCCCCTGTACATGCCTGGTGAGCACACTCAGGCTGAACAGCTCCATAACCTTCCCTGGTACCCGCGTCAAGCTGACAGGCCTGTAGTCCCCTGGATCCTCCTTCTGGCCCCTCTTGTAGATGGGTGTTACATCGGCAAGCCTCCAGTCATCTGGGACCTCCCCGGTTAACCAGGACTGCTGATAAATGATGGAGAGTGGCTTGGCAAGGTCCTCCGCCAGCTCCCTCAGTACCCTTGGGTGGATCCCATCCGGCCCCATGGACTTATGGATGTCCAGGTGGTGCAGCAGCTCTTTAACTGCTTCTTCCTGGGTTATGGGGGGTTTATTCTGCTCTCTGTCCCTGTCTTCCAGCTCAGGGGGCTGGGTACCCTGATGGTCATACCCTGCTGCATAGTGGCTTCCAGCTCCACCCATTTGTTGCCTAAACATGGGTTCCTGGCAGTCCCCTTGTTCCACAAGCTGCCCTGTCCCAAGAGCAGGGTCAGTCCTAAAACTGATGCTCAGCTGCTGCTATTGAAGGTGATGTTAGAGATGAGTATCTTCAAAATCGCCCTAAAAATTTGAGGGGGAGGAAAAAACCCACCTGCATAGAGCTTGGCTGGTTATTTCAAGTTTTTGCGATCGTTGCAGATAAAATAAGGAAGTAAAATAAGTAAATTAAAAAAAAAAAAAAAAAGGGACACTAAATGTGTTGCTCCGGACAATCAGACCCAATCTTTCCAGTTTCATTAGTGACCCTTTAAAAGCTATTGCAGAATTTCCCATTTGCTTTCCATGCGACCTATCCTGTATATGAGAATAAGAAATACGTTTGCACTAGACTGTGATAAAGCTTGAAATTTTGTATGTTGCTGGCTCACTGAAGCCCAAAATAGGAAGAAATGAATTCTTTTTAACTTAGCAAGATTCT